CTGTGTGCTGTGTCAGTGCTGACTCGTGAGCTGGGACATGGCTGCCAATCTCTATCCCACACAGAGAAAAATAAATTGCTGCCACTCAGATAGAATATGTATATATGTATTTTAACCAAAGTTGAGATAGGATTCAAAAGAAAAAAGGGACTTTGAAGTCTGTTTTGTAGTTTTAATTAATGCAATGAGGGGTTTTATTTTACTCTCAGTGGAGATAATCTTAATCCATTCACAGTGACCTTTTCTTGTGCAAATTAGCTATACACGCTTGTTTAAGCAAATGGGCCTTTGCAAGATGTCTCTTCCTAAAGACAGARCTTATAATTGAAAATTGGCTTACTCCCATCTGTCTGGCCTGTGTGAGAATACAAGCATAGATTCTGACTCCTTTGTATATAAAATACAATCATGTATATATGTATGTATATGYACATAGACACACATACAAAAAAWCTGYTCTGCCTGCAGAACATGGTRAAATTAGACTATTAGTGTCAAAAAATGTCAGTGCTRCAAGTTGCTGTCAAAATTACATCTATTTGCAGAGTCCAGGACACTCTGGAGAATGGAGGGTCTTCAGTCTGGACCCTTTTGAGCCAGATGAGTTCAATGCCATTCACAGTTCCATGGGYTTGCCAGAAGAACAGTTCGCTAATAACAGGCGGGAAACTGTTGGGATTTGATGTGTGATTTTGGTGAAWGATTTTGTGGTGATTGATGGAACTGGGGGAAAAAACCCACAAAAAAACAGAAGTGTCTGTAAGCCTTTTCATTCAGAGGAGCACGTATCATTGCAGCTATGTGGTTAATTGCCAAAACTTGGTAGTTTATTCCTGTCTCCATAATTAACAATAACCACCAAGAGAGTCATTGTAACCCCCCATCCCTTTTTTAGTGCCTGCTTGATAAGGAAATGTTTCTTTGGCATCCTCTAAATTTGTTTTTGCTTTGTACAAACCTCTTGTGCAGAAATGAGCACAGTTGCGCACAGCTTTGACCGAATCTGAAAAGAAATCATGATCACAGAAGTGCTGCAACAATGCTTTGAGTATCAAAATATTTAATGTGAGTTTGTTGTTAGAAGTCATGCACTGTTTATGTAGAACTGGCTCATTATTGCAAAGGCAAAATTACTTCTTTCATTATCAGTTTCATTACAAGTCTCCCCAGCTCTCTCCCATGGTGGTTGCTTCTGAGCATGAAGAAGCCGGAGAGGAGGCTGCCACGCATGCATGGAGGGAGCTAGTTAACCTGGTGGTGAACAGTCTTGGTTGGGAATGATTTTATCCAGATGTGTCTCAACAGCTGTTTGTATTTTCACGCCCAGTTACTCTAGGACTCASCGCTAATTGAATTTTCTCTTTTCTCCCCTGTTCTTGTTAGGTATGATTACCGTGAAATGCTGCACAATGCCACTTTCTGTCTGGTTCCCCGTGGCCGCAGGCTTGGCTCTTTCAGGTTTCTGGAAGCCTTGCAGGTAAGAGCTGCAKTTTAAAGCAGTGGCTACGCTGGCTGCAATTCAGTGTGCAATAGCAAGGAGGCGGGGAGGAGGGAAATATGTTTCATTTCCCTAGTGGACAGTAATCCACTTTGCAAAAGCCTCTATTCATACTTCTGGAGCAATTGACAGCTTCTTCCCAGGAGGGGCTGAGCACTGAACTCATCTGAAGGTCGGATTGCATTACCTCCAGGAAAAGGGTTTCCCTGRTTGTGGTGAGGCTGAGAGGTTGAACCAGTTGAGAACAGTATTTATCAAGCTAAGAGACYTCCCCTGGGAGACACTAGTCTTTATAAGTAAGTCCTGGAGCACTAAAAATAGCTTTTTGTTTCCACTTAGCCAAAGCAAACCTGCTTATGCATTCCCAGTTTTAAGATGGTTCTTGCTAATATACAGAAGGTGGTCTGGAGGTGGTTAAGCTCCAGATGGAAGCTTCACGTGAAGGTGGATATAAACTCTSAGGGAGCTCACATGCTGTCTGGGACAGCACTTGAATCACCTTCACCTTTTAAAAATGTTTTGGTTAGTGGTCCCCTTTTTCCCKTGGGCCAGCAGCAGAAGGCAATGCAAAAGGGCTCTGGAGTCCCTGTGGCCAGTCAGCACAGTGCTTAAGCCTGACACCTGCCTACTCCACCTGCAGCCTGTCTGACATTTTTTTTTGCAAACATGAGCTCAATCCTGGGGTCCTGGCTCTTCAGTCAGCCATAGAGAGCATTTTGTGAGGTGCTGCAACTCCCCTCTCGGTCTGACATCTGGATTTCCATGGGGACTGACATGAAGGAGCTGCTGAAGCTCCTTGGTTTCAGTGAAATGGCAAATGACCATACCGTACACAGGATCCTGCCTCCAGGATTTATTTTGCCGTTTGGGAAGTGTCCCAGCATTGAAAGTAAAGCTGTTAATGAATGGCATCACATTCCTTTTCGTCATCAACAATAAAATGTCTGGGCCACTATTAGAGTATTACTTGCTGCAGTGCTGAGCCAGATGCRGGTACCTAAGTGTGAGTGCATTACGTCATTTTAGAAGCCCAGGGTACCCGGAAACCTTTCTGACTTTCTGCTGCCTCTCCAGAAGGACTCCAGCAGATCCTGTGTTGTGTCTGCCAGCCTTTGATGGGTTTCTCGATACCCTGCATGCTCTGGACACATAGGTGTAACCACAGAATTCCATACCTGCTATCAAATTTCAGATCCAAGTTCTGGATTGTCACTTGCCTCTTTCTCTTGCTAARGAGAGGATTAATAGCCTGAAAAGTGCTGTTCTCTCTCCAGTCCCCTCAGAGGAAGACGTGAGTCTGGCTTATATGTGATGACAAGTCACTTCAGATCCTCCTGAAGAGCACTCCTCAGCTCCTCTCTCATCTGGGCCCAAAGTCATGCAGCTTCTGTTAGATAGATCATCTCAGGAGGACAAAGCAGGGAGTGTACCTCACTGCACAGGACTCGTGGGCTCCAGGTCAATGATAAAATGCAGGCAGCTGAGGATTTCACTATAAGCCTAGCAGCAGTATTCACCAACAGTGATGTATTCCCGGTTTCTATCTGGATCCAGGTCATTTTGAAAGTCTCATTCATATTAGGATTGTTTTAAATTTGGAACATTTTAAACATGAAAATACATAACTGTTTTCTGGTTGGCTTTTTTCATGCATGATGTAATTTCCTTACAGAAGCTCACAGTTCTGTACACATAATAAGCACTGCTGTAATGCAGACTTGACCAGTCTAAGATGCTGTGCATGATACATGCTACCAAGAAAAGTAGAGCACTCTGAAAGATTCCCCTTTATACCATCTTTTGGGAGGTTTTGGGAGGCCTGAACACTGGTCTGGTCCGAACTCAAAGCAGTTAAGCTTCTTTTTGATCCAAAAGAAACTGAACCAGAGCACAGATTTGATGAAAATCCTCTGGTACTAGGTTATTTCATCGCATCAGAAGGTTTTTGGTTTGCATCTTATGTTGTGATTGAACTGACCAGAACATAGTGGTAATCATATGTTTATGAAAATACTGACCTGTTTACTAAGTATTGCAAATGGTGCAGGAGAACTTGTAAAACTTAAAAAAGTTTTAATAGTTTAGATAGATTATACTGATAYGAAATAGATACTAAATGTGCATGTTTTTTGATTTAAGATATACAATAACTCTTATTTTTGTAGACAGGTGATGACAGACGAGTTGTGTTTGTGCAGTTGCCTCTGTTTGGAGAGTTGATACCAAACAGGATAGGGAATTTACTCCTTCGTGGGAAAGGTACTCAGGAGTTAAATATGGTCTGTATTTTCTGTGGGGTGTTCAGCAATAGACTATAAAAATTAGGGAGTTGCCCCCTATTAAATGATTCACAAAGCAGCAAGGGAGGCAATCATTTTGTATTAAATTCTCCAGCGTTCCATCTGCATCACTGGACAGTTCTGCCCTCCTCTGGCAGTGTAAGCACCAGATTGCAAATGGCACTGTCCATGCAAACCCCACCTTTCAGTGCATATGAATAACCCCAAAATGGAAAACTGTAAACAACACCTGGGCTGCCGTCCTGTGGCTCCTGGCTTCTGGTGTTCTTTGCCATGTTGCCTGTCCTGAGCTTATGCAGAAAGCAGGGTCCTGGTGTTGGTGGGAAGCTGGAAGCGTGCCCCGGTGTGGGGCTCTGACCATGGCCGTGCTCTGTGCCCACAGGCTGCCTGCGTCCCGGTCATGCTCAGCAATGGATGGGAGCTGCCCTTCTCGGAAGTGATTGATTGGAACCAAGCTGCCATCATAGGCGATGAGAGATTGTTATTACAGGTAAGGAAGAGACCGCGGCCTTCAGCAGAGCACTTGATTATTGCTGCCACCATCTAAATGGACAGGGAAGATGAATCCAAAAGGTCAGGGCTGTAAAAGAATTTTTATCATGAAGGGATTGTGTGTGTCAGGCTGGCTGTGAACTCATTTAATATGACATCATTCATGATTTGACCTGAAGGTCATTGCAGCCACCAGGCCACATTCTTAAGTGTGGGAGACTTTTATTTTTGCAAAGAGCATTAAATCTCTTCTGGTGTGGAGYACTTGGATGCCAATCTGAGGTAGACCTGTCCAGGTACTATGATGAAAGGAATAACATTTGAGGGTAGATTCTGTTCCAGTCCTTAAAAAATAATTTATCCTCAGGGGTATCCTCATGAAAGCAGGTATTTTCTTGGGCAGGAGTTTTYATGTAGTGATTTGTTGGAAAGCAGAATCTACCCCTTTTCTGATGTGTGGACCATGTAGCATTGCTTTCTGAAGCAGTGTTCATGTCACTTGTTGTTAATCTTGAGATAGTGGAACAAAAGCGGACTGAGAAGTTACACATTCCCTGCTTCTTTCAGCATCTACTTTGGTTTTAAATACACTAGGGTTGGTTGGTTGTTTTTTTCAGCTACCTTAGTGGGTTTTACAATCTAAATATATYCCATGAATTCCACAGAGGAGTTGAYGTTAGAAGTTCTTKAAAAATTGGTTTCCCCAAAGTGCCATTGCCTAGTGTAAAGCTGAGATCCACAAGATCTGGAATAAACATTAGGTAGCCACTTAGAGGGATTTTTTTTACTCTGGAATTTAGTGTCATCCACAGAGAGAGGCCCTCAAAGGTACAAAGGTTTGGGGTGAAACCCCAAAACAAAATACCTTTGCAATGTCATTACATGGCTGTTAACTTGTCTAAAGAAGTAAATATTTGTGAAGAGCTGGTGTAGCAAGCTTGGCAATGTGCTGCCCATTCTACTTAATGTGATACAAGCTGCAAATATAAAAGGGACATTTGATTTTTGCTTCTGTGGACAGCACATTTTTTCTCAGCAAAATTATGTCTCTYTTTAAATAATAATAATTTGCTGATCTTCATGTTTTCCGGTAACATGCCATTCGTTCACTTCACGCAGCTGCTTCCATATTGAACTGCTACTGCACCGTTATTAACAGTGTTTTTAAAGAGCTGGCAGAGGGCCTGAATGTCTACTCTGGGAAATKTTTTTGTTATGTTACAGTTTTTCATTTCCTGTTTGAGAGCAACTCGGATGTTTTTATTTGCATATTCTCCTCATCATAGCTCTGGCAGAGCTTARTCCAGCCTTTCTGCATTTATTTGTGCAGGATGTTTTTTTCCTCCCCCCTACTCATTGCTGAAATGACCTTTTATTAAAGTTCTAATAATTCCAGTGTAATCATGCCAGATTAGTATTAATACATCATGTTCCCCACCTGTCTTTCTGGACAAGTAGATTAATAGGAAAATGCATTTAAAATGGGAGCTCTGTTTTTTCTTTCCAGCTGTTGTAACAGAGCCTGCATCAAAGCTTTTTTTAACCTTGACACTGTGTTTGCTGGCACTCAAAAACATGGTGTGCTGTGTAAAATCATAACTTCTTGCAGTCACCTTCATAGTCAGAGCAGCCTTCCCTTTCAAAAGAAGGGAAGTAGTAGTAGTAGTTGGGATTGATATTAATTTTATTGGTTGCTTACACATGTATGCTCACACACCACACAAGGTTGCACATACTGCAATGAAGCATTTATTGAGAAAATGCTGTATCGCCCCKTGAAGTGACTTAAATCTTGTCTTTGCTACTGATAACATTTCTGGGTGTGATTAATACACATCTGTGCAGCCAGTACAAGTAACRTTTATTATCCTTCTATTTGTTGGAACACATCACAAACAGTGGTGTGATCACTTAGAAAGACATGTGCTAATACGTGTTTTCAGGTTCTGTCTTTACTTTGCAGGGGATATTTTACCTAAAGATCTATATTTTACTTAAAGGGCCTGTAGGGAAGGAACATAAAGTAACATCTTGGACAATCTGACTATTTTCTTCTGTTCCACCTTGCTGCAGTGCTAACTCTCTTGTAAGCCCAAAGTCTGTGTTACATTAGCAGTGTCTCTAAGATGATGGTCTGAGTTGAAGGGCTGAGAGAGCAAAGATCAGCCCATCTGGCACTGCACACAGTGGAGCCATGGACAAAGAGTCCAGACCTGGCTGCAAACTCTGCAAATAAAGAATTTGCTGATTCTTGTGGATTTTTTTTATATGTAAATTCTTAAAGTCACAAATTTTCTTCAGGAAAGAGGTTCCATGGGAAATCATTTCATTTGGGAACACACAAAAGCAAATAGTGATCACTGCCACTTGTCAGAATATTTTAGGAATAAGCAGAGTGTGTTTTGGTCAGGAAAGGATGCAGGCAAACTTCAGAACAAGCTGAGATATACAAGGAGCAACACACAGCCCAGGTATTTGCTTTTAGAAATAATGACTCAGGTAAAAGTTTTTTGAGAAACGAGTRTCTAAGTCAGCCTAATTTGGTGATTGGACTCAATGATCTTCGAGGTCTTTCCAACTTTAACAATTCTGTGATTCCAGTTAGAAGTTGACAAAAATGTTAGGTGCAGCAACACAACTCTTCAATCCTAGTAAAAGATAAGGCAAAAAGCAGCATAGCCTAAATGGCTTTCTGGTGCTGTGACTAGGCCTTGTAACTGMAGAAAATTTCAGTTCAGTTCCCTTGATAATGTCAGTTTGCATTGTCCAAGTTGTACTGCAGGTCTTGGTCAATGTCCTAAGTTAAAGAATGGCACATACATTAGTTTCAGGAAGGACATGTGGATGCTGAAAGATGTAAACATAAAGCTCTCCTCTTCTGATCTCRTGAGTGGTTACATTTTTTAATGGAAAAGTGCTGCAGCAGGACAACCTGTGTTTATTTGTAAGGCAGTTTATACAACAATTAATGTGTAGMTTTAATGGAAAGAGGGCAAAAAAAGCACTGTTTTCCCTTGTGAATAACARATGTTGGGGAAGATGTTGTCCTTTCTACCTAAGGTAATTAGTAAAACGCAATTTGATCTACAGGCTCCAGAAACAGTGGAGCGTTACTTAAGATGTTTCTATGTTTTCCTTAGGGCACTTAGTATTGCCATGCTGTGGTAAATGCAATTCCAGATCCTGTTAATATACTTGGAACGTGGGGGTTATTGTTGAACTCTCAAGACCTGTGGGTMCTGGGTTGTTAAAATACTACTCCATGAAGAGCTTTGCGGGATGAAAAGCATGAGGAATGCATGGAGGAGCTCCTTGCTATGGCCATAGCTCCTTGCTATGGCTAAGGCCACAGTGGGGTAGCTTTGCTACCATAAAACAATCAAAAACTAAAAGAAAGCAGATTTTAAAAATTAATACATTCAGTACCAGAGGTTACAGGGGGTTGTGTCTCATTCGTTTTACATCAAGGCTTTAACTGTTGACACACATCTCYGTTGGACAGGAATGCTGAAGCTGTGCAACCTGCTAATAGAGGAGAGGGCTTGTCAGCAGCATATTAATTTGATGAGACTGTGTTGTTTCTAAAGCTTCTGACTATATTACATCTYGTATTACAGATTCCTTCTACAATCAGGTCTATCCATCAGGATAAAATCCTAGCACTTAGACAGCAGACACAGTTCTTGTGGGAGGCTTATTTTTCTTCAGTTGAGAAGATTGTATTGACTACACTAGAGGTGAGTAAAAATTGTCTGGGACCTTGCCGAGCAGCGAGATTTCCGTACCTGTCCAGCTGCTCCTGTCCTCAGCTGGCGTCAGACCTTGGCTTTCATGACATGCAATTGGTCACTGGGAAAAAAGCTCAGCATCTTGATGAGTTTTCTCCCCTAAGGTAATACTTCCTTCATTATTGGAATCCACATTAGAAAACTGACACAGTGAAAAATGGGAGCTACCTACCACATGGAAAAGTTGTCATGTGTGATCTTGACTTTGCAAGGCTTTATGGCTTATGAATCACTATCCTTGCCATTGGTAGTAAATGTGTTTCTTAAGAAACCCTTCTGGAATTCGTTTTGGAAAAATACTACTGTAGAGCTCCCCCTTGACCATTTCTTAACATTTTGATGCCTTGTGATGGGGYTATTGATCCTGGCTCAAGGAAAAGGGTTGTCTTGTAAATGCTGTGTCTTATCTTCATGCACAGGAGAAGGGAAAGGCCTGATCATTGTTATAAATTATTAATAGATAATCATAATTAGACTGCTATTAAAAAGGGAGACAGATGATGTCAAATGTGGAGAGAATCCTTTCTGAATTCAGAGACAGAGGAAAGATGAAAGGCTCTTCAGAAGTAGGGCCCAGGCTGCAATTTCAAAAGCAGGTTTCTTTTTTAACTGTTTTGCAATTTTTCACATAAATTTTTGACACATTGGTACTACTGAAAGGGGCTCACTTTGTAGGTGCAAATGCATTCGTCTTATGCTAGTTTTATGCTAATGACTCTGCAATTGCATCCGTCTTTGTGCACAGTTGTAATGCACAGTTGTTAAGGCTCCAYGCTTCCTGCTGTGCCTGCTTCCCCCTGAAAACTGAAAATGAGTGCCCATRGCTGATCAGCCTCCAGCTGCTGCAAGGCAGTCCCTTAGGTTTTTCCATGCCAGTGAAGAAAACCAGCCAGGGAACATTTKCAGAGCCCCTGGCACAGCTATCCTCATAATGCTCCCACTGCCCTCAGAAGAGCATGCCTTCATCTGTGCTGCCTGTTGGGAACTGCTCTGCATCCTCAAACTCCTCTTAAGCACTGATGAGGCAGTGATAATTACCACAGCCCACCCCAGGATCAGACTCACAAAGGTGGAAGACCATGTGCCATTGCTCACAGTTTAATTAACCCTTACTGATGTGCTCCCAGGACCATCAGGTGTCTCACGCATCATCTGCCCCTTCCTGTATGTGCCCTGTTATTGTTAGGGATTGCTAAAAGGACAGGGGCACACTGCCCTTCTCCTGCCTGTGCTCAGCCTGGACTCCAGGGGACAAAACCTGCAGCTCCCACAGCCTTGGTGTCCATCACATCAGGCTCCAGTTCTCACACGTGTCTTCTGTGCTGCTTTGGGACACATTGGCCCATGTGGCTGCAGGAGCCCAGGGGACAGCAARACCTCTAAAGCTGAAGCAGATGGGTAACCAGCAAGCTGAAGGTTCTGCTCAGAGCAGAAAAACTAAGGTAAAGACAAAAGTCTTCATGGAAGATTTAGTTTAATAAAACCACTTAATGTATACCTGGTATTGAATTATGTTCTGGGTTTTTTCATTTGTTTGGGAGACTGATTTTGGTTTGAGGGTTTTTTTGTTGTTTTTTAATTCAGGACTCAATTTTTTTGAGACAGCTAAGAGGGATTATTTTCTTATGAACAGATACTGATTTCACATTTCAACTTGCTTAAGTCCTGAGTTAACTTTCCTTAGGAAGGGAGTAAAACGGTTGAAAATTATTGTTGTCTGGAACCTGCAAGCAATATATCCTCTTCTCAAAATCTAATGCCTGGAAGTAAATTCCTGCTAGGATTTTTTTTTTTTTTTGTGGATGTGATCCATCTTCTGTTGTAATACTGTTGTGTCAGAGTGCTCTGATGATTCTAGATATCATCAGAGTAATCACTTGCCTGCTAACTTCAGTGCTAGTGTATGTCCACGTCTGAGGATATCAGCACAGAAAGTCTTCACCAAATCAGATGTCTGCAAGGACATCACAGCCCTTTATCCTGCTCAGCTCTGGAAACCTTAAATCACATTTTAAGTTCCTTGATCTTCTCACGGTATTTGGTGGCTCTTGTGGTTTAACCCCAGCTGGCAGCCAAGCCCYGGACAGCTGCTCACTCACTCTGMMACCAGCAGAGTCAGGGAGAGAATCAGATGGGTTAAAGCCAGAAAACTCAGGCTGAGATAAAGATAATTTAATAGGGAAAGGAAAAGCTGTGTACAAAAGTGAAGCAAAACAACGAATTAAGTCACTGTTCAGGGCCCCATGACATTGATGGTGACTTGGGAAAACAAACACCATTACTCCAAATRTCTCCCTCTTCCWCCTTCTTCCCCCTCCTCTTTATATCCTGAGCATGATGTCATATGGTCTGGAATTTCCCTTAGGTCAGTTTGGGTCACCTGTCCAGGCTGTGTCTCCTCCCAGCCTCCCAGACACCCTCAATTTCCTTGCCAGCATTGCAGTACAGGAAGCAGAAAAGGCCTTGGCTCTGTGTAWACCCTGCTCARCAATAACAAAAACATCTCTATATTATCAACCCTGTGTTCAGCACAAATCCAAAACACAGCCCCAGACCAGCCACTGTAAGGAAGATTAGACCAGCACAGTGGACTAAGCCAAACAGCCCATGGACCAAAATAAGATGTTTGAATCATTTGRCCAGCAGCTCCCTGTGGCAGGCACGGAGGAACTGCCCAGTGCCTTGGACAAGGTGTGGGTAAGACGGTGATGCTCAGGAGTGTCTGCTGCAGGCAGGTGACAGGGAGCACTGGAGTGGGGCAGTGGGCTGTTGGGATGCATGCTGCAGTGTATCTGCACTTCTTCAGTTTCGTCTTCTCTGGAAGCAAACCCAAAACATCCCTGCACAGTGTGCTCTGTGCTCCACTCAGGAAAAGGAGGGGAGAGGGCCAGCACAAAGTACAGACAAGAAATATTAGGTGCTTGGCTAGGGCCTGTTGAAAAGCAGCAATGATTAAGGCAATATGTGAACTTTTTGAAGTGTGAGGATGAGGGAGACAAAAATATTGGACTATTAATGCATTCCAAAAAGAAAAGGGAGATCTTGCCAGAGATCCTAACAGTTTCTTCTCCTATTAAACTTCCTGTCATGTCTCATCATTGGAGAGACCATGTAGATGCTGTCTCTGCAATATGTGCAACACTCTTCACTCTGCATTTTAATTTCTTGGTCCTCCATATTATCTTTTTTTACACTTCTTAGTTCTCTTCCTGCCAAGTTTTCTTTTCTCCCCTCTATCCTTACAGACAGCTAGGTTTCTTTGTAGGCCAGGAGAGTGTTAAATTAGTGATCCACATTTTATCTGTGGTGAACCACCTCCCCAGCTCCCCAGSAGGATGCAGAGCCATTCTGGGGAGGTTTGTGTGGCTGATGTGCTGCAGTGGTAGTGGGGCCCTGCTCTGTGCTGGAGCTGTGCTGGCTCTGGGCACGCTGAGGCGGCGTTGAACACGAGCCATGTGTTTGCCCCACAGCCTTGTTGGCTACCAGCRCCCTGGAAAACTCCACCGTCTGTGAAAACCTCCTGGCCATGGACATTTACAGACTTCTCCTTATCCAGTTGTGCCCCAGTTCTGAGAAAGCAAGAGGGAGGAGCTGTAGTATTTATGCTTTGTGGTAAACACTCAAAAATAAGTACTTTCCAGGTTCTGTCTTTTGTTTAGTGGCATAACTTGCAGATGGGCAAACAGCAGTCATTGTCTGAGTTTTTTCCTGTCCCCGCTGCTGTGTGGGAGATCTGATATACCTAACTTTCCAACCAGAAATATTCAAATACATTCTTGTCGGTGATGGCATTACAGTCCTAAGTCTGTTATTCAAAGAAAAAAAGTTAAATTAACTTACTCATGTGAGTGAATTACTGCATATTAGCTATGGTAATTGGCTGTAGGCAAATTTCAGACAAGCRTGCACTTAACATCTGCCCCAGTTTAGCAGTACATGTATTGCCACCAGCAGTGGATTGTCTAGCACAATGTAACTGGTGTTTTAATGTTTCCTTGTCATGGCAGTCAAAAATTCCAGGAAAACCACTGCTTGTGGCAACACTTTTTCATGTTCTGTATTGACCAAATGTCCCTGAACTCAGCAGCTTAGAGAGATTTTAGCTTGTTTAGACTCCAGCAGCTGCTTTTGTTCTGCTTGTGGTGGGTCTTTTTGCTTGTTTTTTGCTTTTTCTACRTTTCAGTCCCGCTTCAGAGACATGAATTTTCACCCAGATAACGCCTATGTTGAGGTCAGAGACATTAGGTTAGGACAACCAGTATGTTCTTAGCACTCAGGTCCTGTGCACTGCGTGAACTGCCAGTTTCATGAAATCTCCTTGGGAGATCACAGAAGATGAGCTGCAGAAGAAGGCAAAGCATTCCTGCTTAGCCAGCTTGGGGCAAAATTCATCCTTCACCACCCACTGGCCCTTGGCAGCATCCCATCTCCAGACCTGCCAACTTCTAATGCTTTGAGGGAAGAATGTGTGGCACAAGAGTGTATTGCACTTAAAAGGTTGCACCTTATTTTGAGGTTGAGTTTGTCCTGTTAGAGATTCCCACCACTGAATCTTGTTATGACTTTGCAGGAAGTTTAAAGAATTTACCATCAGTGTAAGAACCACTCCTGTTCCTGCAATCAGGCATCTCATGTGAAGCAACTGTAATTAGTTTCATAAATACATAAATGCATACTAATTGTACGGCCTAATACCTTCCTTTCTTTTTTTGCTTGTGGTATTGTAGWTGATAAAGTAGATGACCTAGCAATCTGTTTTCACCTTAAAAATCCAGGAATCTCTGGTTTTGGCCCTCTACAGAGACAGACAGTAGTTGCCAAAAGATCTTCTGTTTCATCYAACAAGGAACTGTTACAGAACTGTGACGTGGAATCAGTGATGTATCTGAATGCTAATATCCCTTTTTAATGAAGCAAAAATTAATAATTAGTACAGCCTGATTTGCTGAAAATCTTTTTGGTTTTGAATACTCTCATTATCTCCAAATATTACCTAGCTTTTTAATGCCATCTTCAAATAATTATCTTCTGTGAGTTCTGGATAGTAAAGCTGACAATGAACTAATCAGGTTTACAACTGCTAAGAATAGACAGAATATTTGACTTSAAATGTAAAATGCAATAAATGGCATGGTCTCCATGGTCCAGAGAGACTAATGAGGTGCTCTGAAACCTATGGCACAAAGCCTGAGCTGCTGAAGTGGTGTCAGAATGTGCAGATTCTGAGTCCTTTTAAGAGAGATCAAGGAGGAATGTCTAGTAATTTGTGTGCCTCAGCTTTTTGCAAAATGGGTGATGATTCCAGTCAGCTGGAGTCYCTGAAGCTTCTACCAGTAGCTATAACAGTCTATTTAAAAATCATTACTTCTCTTGTTTTCCAGATTATTCAGGACAGAATATTTAAGCACATATCACGTAACAGCTTAATATGGAACAAACATCCTGGAGGGTTATTTGTACTGCCACAGTATTCCTCATATCTGGGAGATTTTCCTTACTACTATGCTAATCTCGGTGAGTGGATCCTTGCTATAATGTAGTAGCATCTGGAATTTCTAGTGGAATTTTGAAGTTTTGTCTTTGGGTAGCATGTGCCAAATGACTTACCATTCATTTCTAGTTTGTGATGCCTTTCGTTTATCCTGTCTCAATCTTCCCTGCCCACTGTAGACTGGWACATCTCTGACTCATCAGCATGCATCATGTGCCTCTTGCTTGCAAAGACTGTTTAAAAAAAATCTATGTTCCTTCATACTTTTCAGTTGCTTGTAATTAATGCCTGAGTTGCTGACCCATTCGTGGCCTGAGGGGACATGAGGAATAGCTTTTTCCTTTCTTTGTTTATTTGTGCTTGGCAAATTGGAGAAGTGGTAATTTACCCATGACAGTTGGTATGGATTTATTCACCATACTGTGTGTCTTCCTATGGATCCCACTAGAAGGAATGAATAGGGCTTAGGTTGATGGCTTTTTCCTGAAGCAGAGCTTGAACAATGATTTCTGCAGGCGAATGTGCCTCCAGGCTCAAGGGATCCTGCATACCAGACTGCTGCTACTTTTGGCTCAGCCTGTGCCATCCCACTGGTGTGGATCTGTACTGCTCACCTGCTAAAAATTGACAGTTACTATGTTAAAAAAGGGAGAAGAAGGTTTCTGTGGTAATTTTGGTGAAAAACGACTGTGACCCTRCACAGATAAATTTAGGTGGGGTTGAGAACAGCAATGAAGGGTAGGCGCCAGTAGGATCTGTTATTCCAGGCAGAAAAGGAAAATAATAAAAGGAAAAAGAAAGGAAATCATAGCAAGACAAAAATTTCAAAATGGAAGGCAAGGATGCAAGCAGAATTATCAGCTCAGGAGGTAATTGAAGATGCATGTGGATAGGAATCAACCCAGAAAGAGCAAAAATCTGACAGAGGCTGTAATGGAACTGAGAAAAATGAACAAGCTTCTGGAATTTGTGGAGATAATCTGTAAAAAACGTCAAGCATACAGAGCCAGGCAGCAAAACAGAGCCTATGTCAAGAAAAACATTTGGTTGAACAAACTAGATGTGGATATTGTGGGACAAACTGGATGAAAGGAAGAGATTACAGGACATCTGTGGAAATAATGAGTAAGAAAAGGAAATAATTGTCTTGGAGTCCGGTATTTCAGAGTGGAAGTTAAAGGCGCAGAGTGGGAGTTAAAGGGAAGTGTGATCTCTGAAGCATCTGGTATCTGAGATGAAGGGAGATGACCTAAAAAAACCTGGCAAGGTTTGCATTAAATGCAGATTATTTTTTCCATCCCTGAATTCCTTTAATCTCTAGTAACTGGGGCGATTTTGTCTTCACTGAACACATATCTCTTCACTTCAGGTCTGAAGCCTCTTTCCACATTCACTGCCGTTATCCACGCAGTAACTCCCCTGGTTTCCCAGTCTCAGCCTGTGCTGAAACTCCTGGTTGCTGTAGCCAAGTCCCAGTACTGTGCACAGGTAAGCAGCGCTGTTTGGCTGTCAGTCACAGTGGAGACAAATCACTGTGCCAGCAATGAGGAGCCTAATGACTCAGCCCTGTTTCAACCCCCTATTTCAATTCTGATGTTTCTTTCTTATGRGATTTCTACTGTCTGTGACCTATATGCATGGGAAACAGAAATTCTGAGTATAATGGGAGTGGAATAGAAATGGTAATTAAACCTCTTTGTTACATGAAACAGRTAAAATAATGACTGCATTTTAAAGATCAGGATTGTGTGTGCTGCAAACTGTAAAAGGATGTCTCTGCCTCAAGAGCCACTACGTGATCTTCCTTCTTCCCACTGTGACTCTTAATCTCATCAGTGCAAGGATTTCAGCTTCTCTAAAAGAAGCCCTGGGGAGTTCAGTAGGAGCACCCTCTTGCAGTGGAGTGTCACAAGGGGKTTTGCCTTTAATGAGAGTCACAGTAAATCAGTGACATCTGTATGATGTGGCTGAGATCAAGACTTCACAAGTGACCTGTCCAGCCTAAATTTGGCTGAAAAGATATGTACTGTAAGTAGAGAGGTTGGGTAAAATTACTGTAGGAAGTGGGGGGTTTTATACAGATTTRTGTCATTGCTTTTGATTTTGAAATTCTTAACTTGAATTTAACATGTCTGTCTGGAGATCTGAGACCTTAGATTATGTCCTACATTACCACCAAGGTCTCTGATCATGGTCCAATATTCTCTTTCAGATTATTGTTTTATGGAATTGTGATAAACCCCTCCCAGCCAAACACCGCTGGCCTGCCACTTCTGTGCCTGTCATAGTCATTGAAGGAGAGAGCAAGGTAGGTGGARAGAAGCATGGTAAAAGGTTGCCTGTATTCTCTGACAGGACAGGAATTTATTTTTCCAACAGCTTTGGTGAAAGCTTTGCTGTTCCCAACAAAATGACAGCTCCCTTCTATTCCTTGGCCTTTTGTACCAGCTTAGTTGCAGATTTGTGTTTCATGTGTGGACCCCGTGCACTCCGAAATCATCAGCATTGCAATTAATGCCCTGAATCTGATATTCACAGGTGGGGCCCAGTTTTGAAATGTGACCCCAAGAGTAGAATAGTGCTGACCCCATCGTTGTGGATTCTGTCTCTCWGCAGATACATGAAAGTAGTGATGCAGCCGCACACATTGGGTCTGAGAAGTCATACAGAACTAGGGAGTCAGCTGTGGGCTTAAAAGAAGAGTTAAAAACAAGAACTTGCCTTTGAAAAGTATCTTCTCTTATGGCCTTGTGGGGTACTGCTGACACTAAAAAAAAGGAAGGGACAAGCGACATGGGACACTTGTGTGGGAACAAAATCATGTCATCTCTTGCAGTGCAACACACATCTTGTTTATACTTCCACAAAGTCAAAATAGATGCCATCAGATGAGAAAAGATGTTTTTTTATAATCCACACTGAAATAGATGATTCTTTTCCAAATGCGGGCCTGTGAGAAGCAAGATTTCTTGCTTCTAGATTCTGAAGCAGGTTTGAGCTGGTCCTCTCTGCAGTCTCTGTCAGCTGGCTCTAGAGCTCTGTATTGGCAAAGGGGACTTTCAGTTGCTTTGCCTGTACGATCTTTTTTTGAATTTGTAATTTTGTCTTTGGTCTTTCAGGGGAAAGAGAACCTGCAAGGTTGACAGATAAAGGCTCTGGCCTTAGATAGCCATGTAAACAGTATCAGGAGAATTGCTGCAGGGCTAAGAAAGGCTGTAGGGATTTCTGAGCCTTTTGAATCTTCTGGGTGTTTTTATTTTCTTTTTGTAAAACTTGCAGAGGTGAGATAGAGGAGAAAATCTCTGACCAGTTCTATAGTGTTTGTAGRAATTGGCCCCAGGCACTGTTTAGATTACAAATGAGTCTCCTGAGTACACAAAGGTGTGTTTATAGTGGACAGTCTCTTCCCTCTAATATCCCAACATATGCCAAATGGCTTCTTCTGTGGAAAGCTGTTTGTTTGGACAAAGCTTGCAGAGCCAGAGCAGCACAGTTCAAAGGTTGCACAAAGGAGCTGCATTTCATCTCCAAGCTTGGCTGAGGCCTCCTGGCAGGCACCAATACTCCATGCAGGTGATCACAGRGGTCTGCCTTTACCTAACTTTCACTCTTCCCATGAAATGGAATATTATCACACCCATTCTACAAAAGGGTACTTAAGCTATAAAACAAATACATGGCAAGTCCTGACTGTTGTACTATTTGACAATTTTGCAGTCTGTAAAAGATCAGGGGTGAGAACATGGGTCTCCTGTCAACTGCTTGCTCTGCTTTGACATAGTGTAAGCAAAGCAAAACCTTCAGCCCCAGCCAGATCCCCTCTTCATCAGAGCCCCTGCCTCGCTGGACCAAGGCCGTTGTAGGGATGAAGGGATGCTCTGCAGACAGACACTGTGAACATCCTCATGGAGACAGAACTTTCTCTGAATCAAGGCATAGATTCCCAAGACTTGTTCCCAAACAGGTTGCAGGGGATCTGCATGGTAGAACTGACCATGTCCATTTGGAGGGTTGTGGAAAATTTCTCCATGTCCCTGTTTCCATATAGGGGATTCCTCTTACTGGGTGTGACTTTTGAAGTGTTTTCTTGGCACAGTAAATGGGTAAAGAAGTCTAGTAGCTAACCAGGTTATTTTCCCAAGCGAATGAGAGAAACAAACTGTGTTGTGTCCTTGTTATTTTTCATCAGTTTGTGAAAGGTGCTATTTAATCTAAGAAACCATATGGATTTTCATTTATTGCTTTTATCCTTTTCATCCAGCTTTCCCATCTATATCCTATTACTTTGAGGACTGTCCTGCCATATTTTTTAAAAGCTTATTCAGTATATAGGTTTTRTATAYACAGAATGGTTTGASTTGGAAGGGACCTTAAAAAATATCTTGTGCCAACCCTCCTGCYATGGACCAAGAAACCTTCCACTAGACCAGGTTGCTCAGAGCCCTGTGCAGCCTGGCCTTGRACACTGCCAGGGATGGATCATCCATAGCTTCTCAGGGCAACCTGTTTCAGTGCCTCACTACCCTCACAGTRAAGAATTTTTCCTAATACCTRATCTAAAYSTATTCTSTRTGAGTTTGAATCCATTCCTACTTGTCCTGTCRCTACATGCCCTTATAAAATATCCYTCTCCATCTTTCTTTCAGGCTCCCTTCAGGTGCTGGAAGKCCATTTAAGAATGTGACTTTTTAAAATGCTGCAATACCTATATAATTCTTGGAACATAAAGCTCCATTTGAGTTCTTTAGCATATTCTCCTTTTCTGATGGAGGATATTGCACCATTCTGGTAGTGTTACATCCTACACACACAGCCTGGGCCGCTTGGTTTCCCAGCTAACCCAGTGTAACCTTGTGAAGGCTGCAAAGCCCTTCTCAGCATTCATTATCTTTGATCCTCGCAGTCTGTAGGCAACCAAAGGGACAGTCCTGGCCATCAGGGAAAATATCCTCCACAAAGAAACTGTAGGTACATCTAATTTCCAGTACAGACCATTGCAGTTCATCACTAAAGGAAASCAACCCACTCCAAAGAGGGAGCTCTATTCAGAAATTACTCCTCAGACAGAAGGTATAGGATGGTGACAAAAATKAAACTCCTTCACTTCTGAGCTGAAGGGTCCTTTCCATCAGATAGGAATATGCCATGTACCTCACACAAGAGGAAATAAGAGTGAAGAATAAAATTGAGTATTTGCCTTGGAAATTAGTCCTTCGAGTGATTTTTATTTCCTCCCCTTCTTGCCTTGGATACTCACAGGTTATGAGCAGTCGCTTCCTACCCTACGACAACATCGTGACAGATGCAGTGCTAAGCCTGGATGAGGACACTGTGCTTTCAACCACTGAGGTAAGGGCTCTCTGTCACCCTGGGAGTCTGCTTGGCTCCTGGGCTCAGCCTGAGCACAGCACATACACTCTTCTCTTGGCTTTGCCAGTGAGCAAATGTTACAAGATTTCCTGCTACACTCCTCAAATTTAACGTGTTGCACTTGTTTCAGCAACCCTGCCACTGCCTGCCATCAGAGGAGCTTYTCGCCCTGGTTAATTGGCTCATCATTAGCATATGGTTCTTCCGTTCTTTATTATTTTAGTAACATAGCTGCAGGCGGGTGTAGGCAGCCAAGAGCAGTCAGCTTGAATATTCTGTTCTCAGTTTTCTGATTGGGGTAGCTCTCCCCCCCCCCCCCCCCCCCCCCCCCGACATTATCAGTAGGGTGTAGGTGGAGAAGGAAGGGTTGTCAGCAGCAGGGGACTGCTATCACTCCAAAAGACAGCACTGCCACCCTAGTGCAGGATTTCACTTAGGAATGCTCTTTCCCCATTGTGTCAGCCCATAAAAATTGGAGTTCTTTGCTAGTTTAGGTGCTCAAGTGTTTGTGCCAAGAGCAAGATAGCACTAAGAAAAGAAAAATACTGTAGAAAACCAATTTTTACAACTGGGATGAGTATTGATTTCTGAAACCTCTTCCTAAGAACCACAAGGGAAACTCATGACAGTTTATATAGAGTGCAATATTTGGGAAATACATTATTAATGATGGCCAAGGAATAGCTTGAAAAACTCGATTTTCTTTTATTTTTGCTTTTTTCCCTATGTTCATGGTCATTCCCCTCTCCCCACGTCACCTTCATAAAAATGCATTTCTGCCAGTGGCAGGGATCTTTACTGATGCTGCCACTACTTACATGTCAGTGAAGAAATGCGGAACATTAGTCTTCAGTCACTGCTCTATACCCTAAGATGTTACTGAATGTGTTCTAAATGGATGAGATTGCAACTGCTCTTCTCCCCTGTACAGATGTTGACCTGTGGTTAGACTGCTCCAGGAACAGCCACAGTAGTCCTCTTTCACTTCACAAATAAAAGAAATAGTTGACATTGAACCTGTTTGATGCCAGCATTACAGCTCGATAGTTTCTGCTAGATGAGGAAGAGTACAGCTGCTGCCAAAAAACTTGTGTGCAAAGCGCTGCCCAGCCCAAAGAAATCCCAAAGCAATGAAAGGCATTTATCCTTGGGCTGGACTTCCTAAGCAGGTCATTGCTCAGGATGAAGGGTCCCATCTCAGCTGCCCTGGGGATCATGGTAATACCTCTCAGGGACTTCATTGCACTGGAGGGATATTTACAGCAATCCAGCCTGTTGATGCCATGAGGATTTGGGGCTTTGTTTTGTTTTAACTGGTATTTAGTTGTCATCCAAACTTCAGAGTCATTCAGGTCCCTGGAAGGCATATGAAATAAATAATATTTCTCATTCAGCTTGGCCATGTTTTACCTTAAACATTCTGGAGCACAAATACTTGCTGTTGTGTGAAACAATATACAGTTTTCTTTGTGGCTTTGTTAGTTTGGTTTGGTTTTTTTGTTGCTCCTATCAGCAACTTGCAGTTGATCCTATGTGTTTGCACAGTGGATATTTGCTCTGTGAGCCCCATGGTCCCTGTGCTGCAGATGGAACCAGCTGGCCAGCTCTTGCTAGAGCCCACCTTGCAGCTCCAGCAGCTCTTCTTGGTGGCTCTTCATGAAGAGCTGGGGGGGCTCTCTGTTGCTTCACTTCCCCCAAGGTACAGCTTACACAAATGTGATGTGACATTTCCCTTGAAACTAGCTGCTCATGGAGGGTGGTTGTGGCACAGCTTCAACACCCAGAAACGGCAATTTAGAAACATGATCAAAGACAATCACATTCCCATTGAGGGCAGCAGTCACCAGGCATATCCTCCAAACTGTCCAGCCCTGACATAGTAGAGGTTTTCCATTCTCAGCAAAATGGTGTGTATTTGTTCTGTGAGAAGAGCTGTTCCACACTCACAGAGGGCTGTGTGCRTGGCAAGTCATTAGAAATCAGTGTAGGTCATGTTCCAAAGGTTTAAGAGATTGCCAGCTTGGTTAGATTTTCCTTCTGATCAGCTGAGAGTGGCAGTGTTGCTGGAAATTACATCAGATGAGACCTGAGGGTTTTTTTTATTAAAGGGAATTTTTTCTCAGGGTGGTTGCTTTAGTGCATCTCCCTAGTACAAGGGCAGATAGTTGAAAGCACAAGAGAGGGCACTGAGTGCAGCAATGTTATTATTTATTTAAGTTTGAGATTCTCAGACTTCTCTAAAGAAAACAGATGTCACGTTTTATGGGAAAGGCCTTTATAGGGAAAAAACCCCTTCAATTCTTTCATGTGGTGTTGATTTGGATGAGATCAGAACTATCATAACGGTAACTGGTTTGTGCACATTGTCTTTCTAGTTGGCCTTGGATTCCTTGAAACAACTTTAAAGAAAATAACCAGGCCCTAACTTTGTATTCCAGCCCATGTGTGACTCTTCTGTTTCATAAAAACACTTGTAAATGTGAGAAGTCTGACAGTAATCAACACAAAATGGGACTGTTCTCTGAGCAGCTATTCTTTATCTAACCTCTACACCCTTAACTTTGATTGCTTTCTTGGAAGGCTTTTCAAACATTTTTGAACAAAGTTTTRGATCCCTCTGCTACAGAGGGGAATCTAACATGCAGTTCAAAATAAAGCCTTCTTTTCTTGGATTTGACTAGGACAATTAGAATTATGTGTTACTCCTTTTAAAATTTCAGTCTAGCTTGATCTCCAGAATCTAAGCTGAAGGGGAGGGATTGCCAACCAACTTTTCATTGATAGAAGCTTTCCATACATATTTTTACTAAACTTTCCAAATATAATGCTGACCATCTTTTTGCAAACTACCCCAATCATCCAATTCATAGTATTACCAGATTTTGTTTGGTGGAATCATGGGGTAGCAATGTACYGTCACTTCTCAATTCTCAGAGATTTGAGTTATTAAAATAGTTAYAGCCAGATAATAAATAAAATAATTACATTGGCAGCATTTGACATGCTCTTGTAGCTCATACAATATGAAGCATTTTTCTTAAAGCTTAGGTTCCTTATGCCATTTAACTAAATGGGAATTTTTTCTTCCTCTTTGTTAAGCTTTATTATATGTTGAACCTTTTTGCTCATATGCACATTCTTAAAAGTATGACTGGCATAGTCTTCGAAAGGCTCAAAACAGATGGAAAATATAAATGGACTCCACACTGTCTGTTTTATTCTCACTGAGCCACCTTTACCATTTGAAGTGTGACTCCTGATTTTCCAAACTCTGTGTTAACAGTGATAAAACAGTAGGTGCAATGCACAAAGATGTGCAGAAATTTYAGTTTACCACATGGCTATTACCCCTTGATGCTGCATCGAGGTATAAATACATGCACCTACACCCATTCTTTCTGTAACTTGAAAAGGTTTGATATGTAAAGGGCAAGCTTGAAAATGTTAATGTAATGCTGTGATGCTCTAGACTCCCTTTAACAGGAGCCATTAAAATGTGCATAATTATAGGGCAAAATGTCAAGCAGTCATTTTAATTTACTGATGAATACACAGAATTAATGTTTTGCAACAGTTCCAAGATTTTGAATTGCGAATTAGTGGCCAGGTAGTATTTTGTTTTGTTGACATTTGTTGAAAYAGTTTCGGTATTCATTTGGCCTGTGTCTTTGTCCACAGGTGGATTTTGCATTTACAGTTTGGCAGAGCTTTCCAGAGAGGATTGTAGGGTACCCTGCACGCAGTCACTTCTGGGACAACACTAAGGAGAGGTGGGGGTATACCTCCAAATGGACTAATGACTATTCCATGGTATTGACAGGAGCTGCTATTTACCACAAGTAAGAACCCAGAGCATCTGCTATCCTCCTTCTTTATGAAATAAAATAGTAAAGAGGGGGTTGGGGGGGTGGGGTGTGAAGAACATTCTTCCGGGGAGGGGAAAAAGTGGAAAGATAGTAAGTGGGTCTACTTTTTATGGGGTAATAATTTAAGTTCTTGGTTTAGCTCTGGGGATCTGGTAATCATTATTGCACTTGTTGGGTCTCTTTGAAGTCACTTGTGTTTTGAGGCAGTCAGACTGCTCTTTTTAACATCAGGAATTACACACTTCAAAGAGTTCCCGAATTCATTAAGCTGCTCGGCTGAATGGCCTGTAGCACAGCAGAAAGGAGGTTACTTCCAGACCAGCTCTGGCTATGTGTTGGCTGGCTGCTGCAGACTGCAAAGTCTTCTGGTACTCTAGAAATGTAATACAATGGGCATGTCACAGCTCAGCACATTGTAGCRTGTTGGAGAAAACCCATGTTCTTAGAACTTCAGCAGACTAACGTCCTTCTGCATTTAAAGAAAAAGAATGTTCTAGAGTCTCTAATTCACACCCCCACAAAGGAGAAGACAGACCACAGGGGATGGTTAGACCMAAAGGAGAATAATTTCAACAATAAAAGGGCAGTTTTAATAGAGTTCTTTCCAACTGAACAGTTCAGAATGAAAATATGCAGGATGAATTTATCAGTGTTGTTTATCGCCTTATAGCACTGTGGGGCTCTCCTTTCTCCATGTCCACTATATTGATAGTTAAGCCCACATTGTTTCTTTCAACCCAGTTACAAAAAAGACATGTTCTGTTTCTCCTTTAGCACTGTTTACTGACTTGAAGAGAAACTGATTTGTTTTCCCTTCTTGTTGGAGGATGAGACCAAWGAAAGGAAGTGGTGTACTGGGAATTGAATACAAAACTTGTGTGTCAACTGGGATAGAATTTCCTGGAGCYTGTGATACCTGAAAGCCTGGTATTAATAACACTGCTGTTGATTTCCAGATATTATCACTACCTGTACACTCATTACCTGCCTGCCAGCCTAAAGAATATGGTRGACCAACTGGCCAATTGTGAGGACATTCTAATGAACTTTTTGGTGTCAGCCGTGACAAAATTGCCTCCAATCAAAGTAACACAGAAAAAACAGTATAAGGAGACCATGATGGGACAGGTATGTAATCACAGCATGTTTAGCACTTGGGATGTATTGATAATACAACAGGTTCTCTTCTAGGTTAGGCTTACAGAGTGATACAATTCTGTCAARCATTTTTTCAGTTTAGTAGAACTTTAAATAGACTTTAGATGTGCTTAGTTTAATGAAGAAAAAGGGAAAATGGGAAACATGTATTGTGGGTGTTGCTTTCCTTCATTGTTTTCTCACACAGTGTTATTCATGATGATCCCAAACTCCTGAAACTGATGACTGTGGTGACTGAAGTTAAACTCTGATTTTCTAATTAAGTATTCTAGACCTAAGACCTAGTCATGGAATGCTAGAAGCATAAGTAAATTCTCGAAAGATTATCTATTTTTTATTATTATTAATTAATATAATGTATGAGKCTGTCCCTGTGCTATTTTAAATTATATAATGTGATTCAAGCACTGACACTGAACTGTCACAACAGAGATAATTTGTGATATGCAAGTGTTTTTTCCCCACAGGGAACATTTTGTCCCACAGTCATGCCATCACTCACTAGCAGCCATGAAGTGCTTGCTTTAAATCCTCTCCCAGCTACTGGATAAGCCTTCTGTCATTGCAGAAGCCCCTCTAGTAATAGGGATACATGGCAACGTGGGGACCCTTGTCTTACTGCCCCATGTGAGACAACAATGAGGGCAATAGCAAGTCCTGTAAAACCTGCAAGTCCTGAAATCCTCCCATCTGCTGCCACAGTGTCTGTGATCTYAGTGCAAACAGTTCTGTGATTACTGGGGAGCAGGTGAAAGAAGGTGCCCTCTATTTTCCCCTCACATATTCTCCTGGTAGCATTACTTGGATCTTTSACTAGGGAGTGGCCATGGCAGTTTGTAAACTCCCTTATCTGTATGTCACTGCAATGGTACCTGGGGATCAATAGCATTGGTAGCATTCAGCAATTCTGACTCATCTGGGTGCCCAGGAGACTTTCTGTGAGCAAGAAGGTGCCATCCAGAAAGTAYCTATTGCTTCCAGTTTCAGCTTCACCTCACCACAGGACTGTGCTTTGGCTGTTTGGCAAAGCCTAAGCATTCATTTTTCATCTTACAACACGGGTGACTTGAGTCAGCCATGAACTATAACTCTCTCCTAAAGACAAGTTGTTCCTGCAGCTTTGGGAAATGTAATGGACCATGTTCATAATTCCTTGAAAGACAAATAAAAAATTAACATAACCCCAGTGTTGTGACAGAGATGAATAGACATATGGAAATTCAGTGTTAATGGCCAAAATGTCTGCTGTAATCCTCTAGCAACAAGCTTTTACTTGCTCTTTAGTGGCTCGGTATAATCAGGAGGCTGTAATCAATGCACATTATAACCTACCACTTGAGCTAAACTGGACAGGCCTTGGAGCAAGATCAAGTCTGGTACCACAGTCATTTGGCAAGTCCCTGACTTTATCTGTTTCTTCATGTTTTAATTTATATCCTTTGACTTTATGAATTTATATTTGTTTTTAAAGTATATTGGAATCTAAGTGCTATAGAGAGATGCATGGGAAGTGGCACAAAAATCCCCAAGGCTCTCAGCATTCATACTTTATCTTAAATAATAGTTTTATTTTGTTTATAAATGTTCTTTAGGTACAGATAAAGAATAATAGCAGCTTTAAAACTTCCAGGGCCTTTTTTTTTCCAGAGCTACTGAGTTTCAATGAATTTCCACAGGGATTAGMGCTTCCCTGAATTTTGGAAAATCAGTCCAGAATATTTTGCATGTGTGCAGTCAAAGACCACGGTCTTTTGCTTGGGTCAGAGTTTAATATGATGTGGTGTGAGACTTCATTTTTATGTCCATGAAATGGGGCTCTCTGGCCCTGGCCTGTGGGACTCCTGGAAGCACCTTGCTTTCAGTGCAGGGCATCTACACACATGTAATGCCAAGCACATAAGGACTTCTACTCAGTTACAAGCTGGTTGAAATTACTTGTGTATAAATTTCCGTAGATCTGAAGTGCAAAAGTGCAGTTTTGACACTGAGTAATTGTCTTCYTCCTATGGCAGACCATGGGCAGCTGGCCTGGTCTTGGGTGTGCCACCTCTGCTGGAAAACAGTGGCCTTCTTTTCTTTCCTGGTGGTTTTTAAGAACTTGTTGTATCTCTGAAATAGCTAGAGGGTTTGAAGAAGAGTGAGGGATGGGGTGAAGTAGAGTGCTGGCAAAATTGGGAGGGCTGCTTGTGGATGTTGCACGGTGCATCAGGCYGGCTCGTGGTTGAGCTGAGGTCTCCACGCTGCCCGGCTCTGCCCTGTTTGGGAAGTCAGGGGTATCCAGCTCACCACCACCGAATCTGCTGTGGGCAGGGTGTCCTTCCCCCTCCTTGAGCCTCCCGAGCAGATTCCGGCTGCCCCATAGCCACGTGCTCCAGAGTCTGCCTGGCTCCTGCCATTCCCAGCTCCCGCCCTTCCCAGCTCCCGCCATTGCTGCCATCCCGTGCGCCACGGCGCGCTCTGATCTCTGCTCTCCTCTCCACACAGACGTCCCGGGCCTCGCGCTGGGCCGACCCCGACCACTTTGCCCAGCGGCAGAGCTGCATGAACACTTTCGCCAGCTGGTTTGGCTATATGCCGCTGATCCACTCGCAGATGAGGCTCGACCCTGTCCTCTTTAAAGACCAGGTCTCCATCCTGAGGAAGAAGTACCGAGACATTGAACGACTCTGAGGACGCTGCTGAGGGGGCCGAGCCTCCCTCGCCCGTGTGGGAGCCGGACTGTGCCGCCGCCAGCGAGCGCCCGACCCCGCCAGCCACGTCCCGGTGCCAGGGACTGCTCCGGACTGCGCCCAACCGCCGGCACGCTGCTGTCGCTGGGACTAGGTYGTGTACAGTTTCATTATGGAACATTAAATAATTATTTTTGAAATGATTGCTATGCAGGTTTAAACTTTTTTAATGATCAAAAAAAAAAAAACCCTATTAAAAACAGAGTTCTTTCTTTAATCAAAATTGTGTTGGTTGTGAATATTTCAGAGCTGCCATTTCTTTCTTTTATGCATTTGATTGTCAATGCAATTTTCATTCCTTTTTCCCTGCACAGTTAAATGCTGGAATCTCACTGGGAGAAAATGCAGCAGGTTCAGAAACAAACTGAGCACAAGCAGGTCGGAACTGAAGTATTAACATTTCTCATTTACTACCGACTTTTTAATTTTATTCCTGTTTTCCCCAAGCCAGTAGCAGCCTGGCTAAACTCCTTTGGACAGATGGAAAACTGGAGAAGTGCCAAGGAGCCAGATGAGAGGGTAGATCCTTCTGGTTGGGGACCGCRGTTTTAAAGGCAATCAGCCTTGCCTTGAAGGGAGAGGAGAGCGTTACTGTGGAGGAGCAAAGCGGTGACATGGAGCACAGGACACACACACAGCGGGGCTGTGGGGCCGTGTGTGTGTGTTGTGTTTGGACAGCACATCCTGACTGTCCCTGCCCATGGATGGCAGAGCACCCTCGGGCACTCAGCATGGCCGGCTGGCGTGGTGGTCCTGTGGGACACCCAGAGCCTGTGCAAATCCCTGCTGTGGGCAGTGGTGCCACTTGGCTGCTGAACTTCCAGAAGTGGCTTTGTTCTGAGGATAAAAGGGGTGTTGATGGAAAGCAAGAAAGCATGTTGGTGCTTGCAGTGCAGGAATTTGGCCTGTAACAAACTGGCTTATCTGAAATCAAAACATGAGCTTTTTTTTTTTTTTTTTTTTTTCTGGAAGTGAAATATGTAGAGAAATGCCCTCACGGAGGTCTGACACCTGAAGTGTATGGTCAGAACTGGGACCTGGCAGCAGGGGTGCTCCCAGGCATGTTTGGGGCAGGGTAACTCACACAAAAAACCTGTTTCTGAAGTGTCARTGCTGCTCATGCTCCACAATGGTTTTAGCATTTCAAATATAAGTATTTTTAAATTGAAATAGTCCACTTGTTTATTTCTCTGTAGTCCTTCGTTTATTTATGTGTTTCTTTACATTGAAGAATGAAAACAGAAGCAGTGATTTGGGTCAGGAAGATGTCATTCCAGTTTGCTAAGAMAATAAGCACTTTAAAAATGTTTTGAACTTTCACATTTTGATGAGTTGCATTCGGGGTGCTCTGTAATTATCGCCACCCCAAGAGCTCTGTTACAAAGTCACAGCAAGAAGGTTTAGTGCTGAAGCCCAGAAAAGCAGCAAGCCTTTCTATACCTCATTTCTTTGTAAGCAGGCAATCTGGTAGCAGGGATGAAGAGTAGTGGCTCTTCAGTCACTACCAGTCACATCTAGTAGGGATGAAGAGTAATTGGACCAGAATTATCACCTGTTTTATTCAGGCTCAGGCACCAATTTAATATGCAGCTTTAAGCAACTCCCATGACCAGGGCATGCCTCAGTTTCCTCCTCTGTAAAAGTAATAGTTACTGATTGTAGAGAGAATGCTGTGAAGCTTAAATAATTTCTCTTATTGGTMAGATTATTATCGCTAAATGGAAAGTTGCTGTAAAAGTGAAAAGTACATATGGCTAAATGTTGTATGCAACCTGACATGTAAAGACTTGCAGAGAGTGCTTTGCTTTGCGTATGTATTGCAATATTTGAACAGAGCACATTGAGTTAGGACAGGACCATCAKGTTCTTGACATTTTGTGTTCGAATCTTAGAATGGTTTGGGTTGGAAAGAATCTTGAGCATCATCTAGTTCCAACGCCCCTTCYGTGGGCAGGGRCATCTTCCACTAGGCCAGCTTGCTCAGAGCCCCATCCAGCCTGGCTTTGAACACCTCCAGCATGTTCTGGGCAACCTGTTCCAGTGCCTCACCACCATTACAGAAAGAATTCCTTCCTAATATCTGATATAAATCTAACCTCTTTTAGTTTAAAACCATTACCCTTTGTGCTATCACTACATACCCTTATAAATCTGAACCAAATCCTTAAAGGAATCTGCCTAAACAGTGTGAGACTGCAGCTAGCAACTTACGCTGCTGAAAGGAAGAGGTGCACTTTTCCCACCATTCCTGTTGCTCTCCCAGTCCCTGGCCATGCAGTCTCATCTGACACTTTCTGCCATGGTGGYGGCCACCAGATGCTTCTGTGAGCCCATTCAGCTCTCTAAACTCGTGGAAAACTGTCCATTGATTTACTGGATTTTTCTAATACCATTTTAGAGAGTTAAATCAGCATGTAGAGAGAAATGTAAAGAGGCAACAGTAGGTAGGCAGGGCCAGGGAGGGAAGGGGAGCAGGAGGTATTTCAGTCATCCTGAAAGAACCTGAACCACACTTCCCTGTGCTCTCAGGTCTGTGTTTGCTGATCTGCATGGGAAGGTGAAATGCAGTGGTTTGATTTTCCAGAGTGAATGGCTCAGTGGCTCCCATGACAGTCTTCCTCTTGGAGATCAGGTAGCTCATTCAAGAACTGGAATAGACCTCCTTAGACTGGCTTTTTGGAGAATGTGCCAAACACTGGATGAGGTTTGCAGGGCTCATGTTTTGCTCACATGCCATGTGCAGGTGGGTGAGCACCCATGTCCAGGAGAGCATCTGCACCTCTGGAAAGCAGTCCCTGGTCTACAGTCAGCCAGCAGGAGGGGTCCATACTAAAATAAGAATTACAATTCTGCTTGGGTTTTAATAARTGCCACTTGGGGGCACATGGGTTGGAGTTTAGTTAAAAAGGGAGTCACTATWTTTGGAGTGCAGTGAGTCAGGCCAAGCTTTTAAGCTGTTTGACATTCTGTTATCGTCACTTTTTGGGGTGGCTGAAAGAGACTGTGCTAAAGCTCACTCTCAGCGTGATTCAAGGCTCCTTGTGTTTACTGATTGCTAATTAAGCAAGTAACAATGAAAGGCTTAGTTCCAGAAGGGATGTGGGTAGGTAGGAGCATTTCTCTTGGCCCTGTGTTACCCGGGTGTAGTCGTTTTGCTGGGAAAGAATGTCCCTCACGGCCGGTCTCGAGCGCGGCCATCGCTCTCCGTGTCCTGAGACCCAGGGGAGGAGCTGGACACAGACCCAGCTGTGTCACACTCACTGCAGCCATCACTGGCCAGTGCTCCTGAGGACAGCAGGAAAAGCCTCCATGTCTACCTGTGTCGGACAGAGCTGTGTTGTTTCCTTGGTGAATGAAATCACTCTTTTGTCATGTTCTAGGTGCAAATTAATGGTTCTTTATTCTTTTTTTTGTCCTCTCCCAATTCAGATGGTGCTGAAACAAGGTTCACTCCTTGTTGCTCCTTTTGTAGGTTTTTTTTATTATTATTTTTCATTAACAGCAGGCTATGTTAGCCTTTACTTTACAGGTACTTGAATGCCTGATGACTTGACTGAGTGTTACGCATGTGGCCTTTTGTAAAGGTTACTGACCTTAATTTAATCAGGGGTGAGATGGGTGGATGAATGTGAATAGATCCATGCCATTAAAACAGAATAAAAGTAGGGATTAGAGTTTGGGAGAACTAATGAATTTTTAATTGAATTTATTAAAGGAAAAAAAAAAAGAAAGAAACCCTTCCCAGTTATAATTTGAATGAGACCTGTTGCTGGAGGAAGGTTTCACAAGAAAAATGYGACACAAAAATAGGGGCAAACATCCCATTAGAAAGTGCCTGGCACTCCTCGTAGTCCTTTGGGCCTGCACAAGATTTTATTTGCCCTCCTTCTATTTTGTGAGAACCTCTAATTATTACCATACCTTTTTCTAGATGTGAATGTTTAAGCTTTGTAATAATTTCATAGTGAACACACTGGTGTGCTAATGCATGGCTATTGAACGCTTTGATCTTTTCCATTGGAAAACATTGTGGATTTGATCAATTTCAGGTTGCAATTTTTCTTTTAGAGCCAGTTTTGGCAAAGAAATTAATCTTTCACCAATGAGCGCCTTTTAAAATAGCTCATTTACCAAAAGATATCGTTTGGAGAATGGAAGTCATCATATGAAGTAATGAAAAAAAGATATGTAGGCTCATATTTTTAAAAAATCTTTACATGTCCAGTGTAAAAGGTTGAAATATTGTGTCCTCCTCTTTCACACTCCTCCCCTACTGAAACTAAAAGAATATCAGTGTTTGCCATAACATCTGTTATTGATTGACAGCAATTCKTTAATTCCTCCACTTAAACATATTCTTACAGCAAAGGATGGATTGGTCAATTGCTTATTTCTTTCCCACTCCCATCTGGGCTCTGATGTCTGTTCTGGAAATGTGGCCTTCAAGGGCATCAGCCTGACAGAGCCATTTCCCTGGGCATTAGTGGGATTTCATGGGATGGACCTGTGGTCTTCCAGGAAGGGACCTGCCCCATGCAGGGTCTTAGCTGGTGTCTGCTGGAAATAAAATTGCATCTTCCAAAATTTTGTACATCTCACCCTTGTTTAAAACTAAGTCAAGCTGGCCTTTATACCACTATTTTAACTGTCTTCACACACACATTTTTTAAGTTGGAGTTCAATTAGAGGGAGTTAAATTAGGCAGGGGTTAAATTGGGGGGGAGTAGGGGGGTATGGGGCTCATCAGATGCTTTGAGATGCTCCCTCTCTTTCACAATATTTTTAGTGATTATTTCACAGTGGGTTAGTGATGATCCAATGGGCCTTGCGACCTTGTACATAATTCTGTATATTTATTTTGAGAGAAAATATGTATAGTGTTTGGATTATGAGAATGGAAACCTGAAATGGGAATTCGTAGGTCGGCAAATGTAAAGCAAAAAAAGCAAACAAAAATACAATCTTATTTTGTATAAAATGTACATTTTTGAGAAAAATTTTCTAATGCATTACCAATGTTTTCATAGTGCTGCCACATCTTTTTTAAAGTGTTTCTCCCTCTTTGTTTGACTATTGACAACATGGTGCAATTAAACCTAAAGCAAAATGTGTGAGTGAGAAAAAAAAGAGAGAATGAGAAATTAAAAAGCCATATAATTTGGTTTACTTCATTAACCTGTATAACATCATAGGTTTACCATCTAAGATAGGTTGTTTTTATAGATAGTGTCACCAAAGACTTTTTTTCTTCAGATTTATTTTGAAAAGTTGTTAATAAAGGACGTACATTTCTGTTGCAGTGTGTTCTTATTTTTAAGGTAGAATCTTACCAAATCTTGCTTGGGTTCTTGAGAATGGAAATTTGGGATCATGATTGACACTTGTCTCAGTTTGGGGTAGTTAAATGGAAGGCTCTTTATCTCTCTCTCCTCAGCCTGAACTGAGCATTGGCT